TTAAGAGAGGTGGGTGGAAGGGGTTTAATTAAAGAGAAAAAAAAAAAAAATGAATGTTGACGGATGTCTAATGCATAAAGATACATTTCGTGGTGACATACACACACCATAGACAATCTAATGTTAGAATAAGAGGAGGGAAAGACGATGTGGGGGGAGAGATGGGACGAAGGAAAGTAAAATTGCGTTTACTTAAAGGGCCGCTTTGTAATTGAGAAAATTTGACAAATTTAATATCGACTACAGGTTACAAATCAAAAATAAATATATAAAGATAAATATAACGATTATGTATGTATCTTTATGCATTAGACATCGTCAACATTCATTGTTTTCTCTTAATTAAACCCCTTCCACCTCCTCTCCTAAAATTTCTCTTAAGGTTTAATCTCCCTCCTCCTCATATTTACACATTCTCTAAATTCTGTTTTTTTATTCCGGAGTTGTTTTTTTTCTGTTTTCTTTTGAATTTGTAGGTCTGATGATTTTTTGATTCCAATGGAATAAATTTGACCATGGAATATTAGTTTTAAGCCTTTTATTATATACTTACTCTCTCCTAGACATTGAGTTCTACCTGTATTCTTCCTCTTGGAATTTTTTTTTCTAAAAAATATACATGTATGTGTATTTATATATTTTGCATATGTATGTATATTTTCCACTAATATTATCTATCTATCTATCTCTCTCTCTCTCTCTCTCTCTCTCTCTCTCTATATATATATATATATATATATATATATATATATATATATATATATACGACCACAGTCGATAATATAGAACAATTGTGAATTCTGTGGCCCTTTCATTTTTTGCAAAGTATATGCTTCGCTAACAGAAACACGCGTGTGAGTTCAGAGTAGACAATCTCATAGACTGTGAATTTGAAGAACAGGTCAGGAATTTCAACTCAGCTCATTGTTTTATCGTTTCGAGCCACCTACCCACCACGCACACTGAATTAGGGATAATAATCCCCACCTAAAATCAGGTAATTTACTAAGTTTAAACTAGTATAGTACAGCTATTGTAAGTATTTACAATCTTTACTATTCCTCGCAATAACAAAGAAAATCTCAGGATTGTACTATATGAATTATCTGATGTATCCGAATTCTTCAGTTAATGATTGGATAAGCTATTTGAGAGTTAACATCTATAAGATGCACATGGATATTCCACTAACTCTTCGTTAAATATTTGAGTTTAAGAACTTTAACGAAATATCACAATAACATCATACTATAATAAATATTATATTACAATAAAATCATACATAAGAATACAGGTCATAATTTAAAGAAGTAAGAGGTACAGATTAAAAGATTAAGAAATTGCCAAGGTTTTCAATTTATGAAACACATGTTAAAGGCCTGAGAATGTTATCGCCTCCTCTGTCTTCCCTTTCTTTATATTTTCTAAATTCAAAGTGCATCTTTGAGATATGTTTTCCTCCGTCCATCCTCGCATTCGAACAGGAATGGCTCATTGTTTATCTGAAGTAATGGCATTTCGTAACGCACAAAGAATGAAGTAGAAACATGATAAGACAGGTTTTGAGAATATCTGCAATATTGGACACATGATTGATTGTTAAGTTTCGTTTATATAAGAAAAGAAAAGAAAAAATAATTCATGTGATGTCACGGCATTGCTCTAGCTTAAAAATATTAGCATAAACCAACTGAAAGATTTATGAAGGAGATAAGCTGCTCGGTAGTTCATTGAAGCTCACCAGTCGGCAGTCAGTGGAAGGAAGAAAGTGTGAGTTATCGTTTAGAACTTGAGGAATTTATTTGTCCTCGAAGCGTTAAAGAGGCATTATGACAAGCTATATAAAATGCTGGACGAGCTCTAGATCCACATTCAACACACACGGGCGTCAAACAGAAACATAATGTTGAACATGGGTCTTTGCACATGAGCAGAACGCTCTGTCGACGGAAACCGTAAATCATCATTTTTTTCTTTTTTTTTCCACGCCTAGGTCTACTTGGGATTCTAACCGTTTCCCTTACTTGCCTAGGTTGTTCTGTTTCATAGATCTGCCTCACGTCAAACTCGAATATTCTGGAGGTAAGTAAAAACAGTGAAACTATCTCAGAATCATTTTACTCTTAAAATTTTCGTATTTCTTTGTTTCTTTTTCTTTTATTTTCTTTCTTCTGACCTTATAATATTACCGACAGTTATCTAAGACTGCCACGTAGATGATTTGCTTGGTGGATTTTAATGCTCTCCAACTCGAAAGCAATGGGTTTATGCATGGTGATGTGAAATGGTGTTGCATTAAGCTTGCATAAAAATATCACACTTTACTTTCTTCATGAGTATATCTGGCGGGCTATTGTCCACAGCATCAATTCAAAATGTCATCCTACCTTAAATTTAGCAAACTTCTCATGAAGTGTCATCAATATCTCCGAGCAGAAAACATGAATATTTATGCAATGAAAACTCTAGAGAATTTCCATAATATTTCATCTTTAGACCATTGTCAGAAATGAAACCTCGTTTTAAGTATATGCATATATGCATACGAATACACACACACACACACACAACATATGCTTTTCCATATGCGAGATAGACATTCGTCACTTAAAGTTCATTGGAGTTGCATATAAATGTTAACTGGAATTTCATAAGCTTATACTGTGAAAAAGATTATATTCGTCTATGAAAATGTCTTTCCATCTAATATAAATATCTAATTAAATATATATCAGGAGTCACGGTGGAGTAATGGTGATAACGTCTCGGATTGAGAAATCAGAGAGCCGAGTTCGAATTCCAGTCAGATCCATTACATTCACTTACGTGCTAATACCCTTGGTATTAATCATCTTCTCTTCTTTTATTAAACCTCTTCCTCTCCCCGAGCTATGGGTAAATATCAGGACAGACAGGGTTCTACAGCCTTCGATAGCAACTGGTCTATCGCAGAAAGAAATAGCAACCTACTTCGGGAAAAAAAATCTGCCTGTCATGTATCGGAAGATAACTGACTCAATTAAATATCCGAAAATAAATATCTAATATAGATAGTTAAATGGTTAAATGATATGGCTTAATTTCGCCGTTGTGTAATAGAAGAGAAATCGAAGTGTCAGGTTAGAATTAATGTCGAATTCGTCAAATTCACTTATGCATAATTACTGCTGGGAAAGGTATGCATATCTCCTCCCCCACTACAGCAGGACAGACTGGGCCCTATAGCCTTAGTTGATAAACAGTTAATGAAAAGGAAAATTCAGGTTTACCTACTCCCCAGTTTTTGAATATCAGTAACGGTTCATCCCTTGTTTCTTTAGGGTTGGATTTCCGGTTCATTCTAAAGTCTACTTCAACTTTAAATTTCTAACGACCCGTTTTTTTTTTTTTTAACAGGATTAGAGGTTTATCACTTGTTTCCTTTTTGGGGTTGAGTTTCCGGTTCCTTATAAAGTCTACTTCAAATCTATACCCCTAACATCGGCTGAACTCTGAAAAATTATTCAACAATTAAATCTTGACCTCTTTAAGTCTAAGATTAGTTGTATATCTTGTTATCTTGCCATTTCTAACGCTTATGCAGTTTCACACCGTTACCCTCTACCTAAAGTGATCCTTGGGCCTTGTATTGGATGAACATTAACCAAAAATATCTTTGCCAGGTTTGGGCTCCGTGAGGCTATCAATACACACAACACCTGCTACTTGTGGTCGTGAAATCTTTAGTGTACGAAGTGTCTAATATATAGGAAATTTTATATATTTTCAATAATTATAAATGTTTTTCCTTTGTTAAAATATATCCTATAAAATTTAATAGACCAGCTTAAAAACAATCTACGAAATCCCAATAAATGAGATTTTACTTATAGAATTTCTATGAAATTTTACTTATTGAATCAATAAATGGATTTCTTTGAAATCTGTCGTTCATAAAAAAAAAAAACGAAATTATTTCTTAATTTCTATTCCCCGGATGGATTTTTACTTTTTTGTGAAATAATGTTTTATCGGAAATTTGTTTCATAAGATCACTTATTTACCTTTAACTCAACTCTCTAGGTTTTTGTTTAACACTGCAGTAGCCAGGTATTGAACTCACCACTCTTTGGGTTAAGTTAATATATCCAACCAACGCTTTTATCCACTGGCCAATGTATTCTTGAGGCCACCAGTGTTTGAATTGTTGGGACTCAGTAAGCATTTTTACCAGAACTCATATTTCAATTTTGTTTATATTTTGTTTATGTCCAACACTTTCTGAATGTTAAATTAAGCGTAAAATTAAGTAAGGATACACAAGTGATCATCAACTTTGTTTTATGAATGGATGTAATTTGTAACATATATTCAAACCTATCTTACTTCAAAAGTTTCTTTATCTACATTGATAATCCTTCAATAAAATTTTTCTTGCATAAACACATTATAGAATTTCTACTCTTTCAGCAGAAGAGTGTTAAATCAACAATATATAAATACAGGGATAAATACTGCATTGGATATAGATGGATTTAAAAATGTAATCGAATTAAAAAGGGATGATCGTGATCACTTTCACGGACTGATGTGTTTACTTGGCGCTTCTTTGGTTGATTAACGTGTGGCACAGGTCAAGAAGGACCCTAACAACCTCATCGGTAGGGTCCATAAAAATCATACTTATAGTGTTATTGTTTCTTTTGTTTTTATTTCAAATTTCGAAAAAAAAAAACTTCTCTGTTAGATTTTCCAAAGATGTCTTCTGATGTGAAGTTCTTAATTTTTGATTGATTTGTTTTTACAGCTTATCAACATTTTGCAGGTTATTTAAAGTCAGAAAATATACTTAAGTAATAATGATTTCTACTAATTAACCCATAGCTGGGGGAAGCGAATTCTTACATTTCTTAAGGCTATTTACGCGTAAGTGAATATAACGAAATCGACCGGAATTGGAACTCTCTTTTCCGATTTCCAATTACGTACAATTATCCATTACATCACCAGATCCAAGTTTATAGCACTTAGCATTCCTAAATGGTCACCCATCTAAGTACTGACTAGGATCCGCGTTGCTTAACTTCGGTGATCAGACAAGAACCGGTGTTTAAACAAGATATACTGATAACCCCAGGATATCCCAAAACGTATCTTTGTCATACAAAAACTACAATACGACGTCAGTTTGGTTTCATTATCTCATCTTCTAACAAAACGCCTATATATTTTGTGCCCGAGGATGACCAGAAAAGCGGTATAACAGACGATAAAAAGAAAATTATAAGCAATTACGTGGTACGATAAGAAGAGTAACTCTATCGAAGGGGAGAAAGTATAAAACTCCTCATTTCGGCCTTTCTTCTTCTTCTTCATCTTTTTTATGTGCTGTGATCGTTCAGAACGTAGAAGATAATGGCTCTCCACAATTTCCTCTCCTACGTAAATCTTAATGAATTTTGTCATTTTGTTATTTCTTCTAAACCTTGTCCTGTCATTCATTTACTCAAGCTCACAAAATATGTTATGTATTATTTTTTCTGTCCCTCTTGCTTTCAATCTGTTCTGTGAGTATCAGATTTTCTAAGCCGTCTTTCCTCAGTATGTGCCCTAGACATTTCAATTGTTTCTCCCTCATGTTTATAAGTAAAAGCTTCCTTTTGGTTTCTATTTTATCTAAAACTTCGTCGTTGCTCATTGGTTTGGTCGATGGTATCCTCAGCACCCTTCTGTATAACCACATTTCTGTTGCTTTAAGTCTCTTCTTCATCTTTGAGAAGATTGTCTAGTATTCACTGTCATTATGTTTTATGTGATATTTTTTAAAAGGTAAAAACTTTTACTCCTGTTAGATAGTTGAGGTTTCTCATCAGCAGTATTATATATCACTTCGTGATAAGTCTACTGAAATCTCGGAGCTTGTTCTAATTTACTCTCTGTAATTAACTCATAACTCTTTGAAACTATCTGACAACTGTTTACGAATGATCGAAACATCCCCCTAAACTTCTCTGCAGGTTTATTTATATATTATCTTACTAGCCGACTACGTATGACGTCTTCTGGAACAGCTTGAGAAAGGTTTTGATAAGCAGTATATTGTTACCATAGCATTTCAGTAGACGGAAGTTTATAAATGTACATATATTGCATACTGGAAGGAGAACAGTAATAAACATACCCTGAATACATAATAGAATTTCAAAATGTGGAATTAGTAAATCAAAACTATTCATATACCTCGGTGTTTGGATAAGATTTCGTATAGGAGATATGGAAATTGAATACAGGATATGTTACCCTTAGGGTACTTTAGTCCAACACTGAAAGATGCTAAAACACCGATATATTAATCTGAGAACACTAGTCATGATTTTAAATAGCGTCGTCAGATCTGGACTCTTATATGAAATTTCATGACTTGTTTGTTTGTTTATTTAGCGGCATATCAACTCTTTATGGGTCATTTAATGCCGAAATTTAATTTTCTTGGGAACATTAGTAATTTCTTTTACAAAAATGTATTGCTGGTAAAGATTTTTTTTTCCAAAAATGTATTGCTAGTAGTAACTTGTTTTTAAAAATATATTGCTGGAAGTATTTTAAAAAATTCATTTTAAAAAACGTATAGCTGGTTATTTTTTTTTTTTACTATGAAAATGTATTTTTATACATTCATACTGTTTTGACCTAGTATAGATGTGGCTCAATCAACGGCATTAGGGCGAAAGTAAATGGAACAAGCTACCCCGAAATTTGAACTCGGTTTGGAGATCGAATTTCAGCGCCGATATCCTTTACGCTACCCAGATGTATAATAGAGGTAGTAGTCGTTTTATATTCATACGTTCTCTTATGTTATTTCTTAGTTTCGTTATCATTGTTGTTATGGATTTAAATTTTAGTGATAATCTATTTTTTTCTATATTCATTTAATCTTTATTCAGAGGTTTCACTACCTGCCCATAGTTGTGATCCCAACAGGTTCTACCACCCAGAATCATGGTGGATCTGGGAACAAAAACAATTAAGAGGTGTTTTCACGCTTCCAAAACTTCCCGATCAGAGGCCTTGCTGCCAGATGTAGTTTATCATCATAACCAGGATGCGATGTCATGTCCAACGTCCAACTCGTTCAAAAATGTCTAAAATATCAGCTATAAATACAACTGCTTTCTCAGCTGAATGATTAATAAGCGAATGAATCTTTTCGGTATTAAAGAAGACAGTGTATGAGATCTTTTAGACTGGCGCTACAGAATCACAAAGAAAGAACATTATCAAATAAGAAAACCACATCACTTGAAATCTTTTTCACAATAGCAACAATAAAAATGGATGTCACATGTGACTAGATTGGAAAATAATCGTTTACTTAAGTTACTGACAATTCACTCTACCTTAAACAAAAGGTTAGGGAGAAAACCCAATAATATTAGGAAGCGCGAGAAAGCCTAGTGGACCTGAAGTATATTTTCTTGGAAAAACCTGTGAAAGATATTATTAAATTTAACCACAGTAACACAAACTGTTGTGTCAGTGAATGCCGAGTAATACGATCAACATAATTCGCGAGGTAAAAGTTGCCTCTTTAAGTCGTAAGATGGCAATTGAAAGCACTATACAAATAATCGGCTTATACACGAGTATATACGGTATTTGTGGAATGATAGTAAGGGTACAACAAACCGTTGTCTTAAAATACGATTTGAGGAAGATGAAACATCCATATCCATAGGGTTTTTTTGTGGAGGTAGAAATGTTTTGTATCATATTTGGAGAGAAAGTGACACTTAAATAGATCTATTCTATTACAGGTATTTCTAGTCTTCCCATTACCTGAATTACAGAGATTGTCGACAAGCTTCTTTCTCGTTTCTTTTTCGATTTTAATATTGCGTTCAAATTTTACTAGGTACTCTAGTATTTTGGCTTCCTTTAACACTGAGCTTCGCTGAATAAAGTATTCTCAGCTCCACCGGCTTCTGGCGATATCTGTAGCAACGTTTCACTGCATTTCAACACCTGAAATATTACTTTGCGAGAGAGAAGCCTGATATATTTAGACACGTTCTTATCAGTCAATAATTTGGACAGCAATTATATTCAATTTGAACAATTATTATTTTCAATTTGAACAATTTCAGGTATTCCAGATAAATTTGCGTAAATATTATTTGAGAAATTATCCAAAAATGTTAATGATGATTTCATGGAAAATTATTGTTAAAATAAATGAATGTCAGTCGAACGTCATAAACCATGATTCTGTGAGTGGAATCGTTTTGGACATTTGATCGAAGTGTTTGTCAAGTTAATGGTAATACAAATTTCGAAATGTGCCCCCGGCTGTCTAGAATTTCTGAGTCGAAAAACGAAGAGAAAAAAATAATATTAAATATAGGAAGATAAAATGAATATAGAAAAAATAGATTATCACTGAAATTTAATGCCATAACATCAATGATAACGAAACTAAAAATAACATAAGACAACGTATGAATATAAAACGACTGCTACCCCTATTATACATCTGGGTAGCGTAAAGAATATCGACGCTGAAATTCGATCTTCGAACCGAGTTCAAATTTCGGGGTAGCGTGCTGCATTAACTTTCGCCCTAATGCCGTTGGTTGAGGCATCTATACTCCCTAGACAGTATGTGTTAAATAGTAGAGTAGAAAGGAATCTCCAGCCTTGGTTTGAATCTAGTCTAACAGAAGGAAAAGTCTTAAATGAAAACCATGGAGAAGGTAATTTGAAAAAAAATCTCTTTCTAGAATACATGTCAGTTCACAGAAAGAATAATGAAATCAGGAATATATCTTTAGACATTAGACATCTCCAAAGCTTTTGACAGGGTTTGGTACACAGGTCTTCTCCACAAACATTTTGAATTGATCCAATCTTTTCTATCAAATCGTGAAATGGACGTTATCCTGAACAGCCACTCGTCTAGATTTTTTCATATTGATGCAGATGTTCCACAGGGCTCCATCCTTGGCCCTACTTTGTTTTTAATTTTCATTAATGACATCCCTGATGGAATTCGCTCTCAACTTCTTATCTACGTTGATGACAACTATTTACTCCTTTGTTCAATAGTAACTCAGATCATTTCGATAAGGTCAAATTAGCTTCTGATGTCCAAAACAAGTTTCAGTTTGTTGTTAACAGGGGCAAAAGATGTTTTGTTAAATTTAACGTCTCCAAAACTAAACTGCTCTCCATTAATTATCTGAGAGACATCCCTCTTTCTCTTCTTGGGCTAACATTCTCGGGTTACATGAAGTGGAAAGACTTATATTGAATCCATTGCTAGGTCAGCTGTTAAGAAAGTTGGTTCAGGTATTCCAGATAAATTTGCGTAAATTATATATTCTCGTATATTTTCTCTCATATAATACGACTTTAGTATAATATGACCTCGTAGTACAGCCAATCCTATGTAAATTCCTCTTCTAATTTCCGTTTCAAACCTTATTTTCGAGGAAGGATGCTTAATATATATTTTAAGCTGTTAATTAATCTATTATACTTTTTTCTGTTGTGCGAGACAATTTTTCTCTCAAGAATCTATCATACATATCAAGAAAATTCGAATATCATATCTTAGAATATTGCTACCACATATGGTGCTCCTGCTATTTCTCTTGAGGTTCTTGACAAAAATAACAAAGAAGAATGAGCAACATTAATGGCCCAGATACGTTGTATCGTTTTCAGTTACTTTCTTACTGCTGCAATGTTGCCTCCCTGTGTCTTTTCTATAAATACTTTCATGGTAATTGTCCAGATAATCTCTTCGCTATGCTACAAGACAAGAATTGTACATATGGTGACTAGTTAGGACTTTCATGGAGATTCTGTGGCATTACGGTGGATGTAGTAAGAATGGTAAGTAAGAATGCGTTGTTTTGATGTAAGGAAAATTGTAGTATGTTTGGCTCAGTGATTGTGGCTAGCTAAGATTAATTATAAAACAGAAAAAGACCAACCATTTTTCCCATGACCCATTCACCCTTTTGGCCTTGTGCCACATTTTGTACTTTTATGCAATTAAATATTGATCTTCGCTTTGCTACATAAACTTTTTAAATTTAAGCACATTAC